ATATAATTATTTATTTGGAAAATTTATAACATAAAACATGTTATAAAATCACCACAAAAATAACCATTTTGTTTTCAACACTCCCGGTGTCTTATCAAGTGATGATATTGAATTATATATATATATATATATATATATATATATATATATATATATATATATATATATGTATATTTAGGCAGCAATCCTTCTTTAATATGAATGTGTATATATATATATATATATATATATATATATATATATATATATATATATATATATGTTTTGTTTTGGTTTTTTATTTTGTTTGATGGCATATCAACCGCAATTGTTTATTTATTGACAACAGGATTTTTTAGGATAGGTTCGTGTAAACAGAGTACGTCTTCTTCGTAAGAAATCAGTTCGTAGATCAGGTTTCTTTGATGTATTTATATAAAGAGGGTTATTTGTCGAGAGTCAAATATATTGCTGGTAATTTTTTTTTAAATTGTTTGGCTGTTGTTTTTACTATAAAAACATGTATTTAGATATTCATAGTGTTTTGTCCCTAGTTTTGGGGATAACAGTTTACCCATAGCTGGGATCCTAACAAGTGCTACCACCCCGGATCAGGGTGAACCTGGGAAAAGCAGCAATTAAAAGGTGGTTTCACGCTGATCAAACCCTCCTGATCAGAGGCCTGACTGCTGGATGTAATTTATCGTGTATATTTATGGTGCAGCATACACACACACATATATATTTATATATAGATAGATAGATAGATAGATAGATAGATAGATAGATAGATAGATAGATAGATAGATAGAAAGAGAGAGTTCTTTAATAATATTAATGATATTATTTCTGTATATATATATATATATATATATATATGTAGTCCGGAAGTCGAATCTGATTTTTCAGTCGAGTTCGTTCCATTATTCTCAAATACTGTTTGGAAAAGTGTTGAAGCTTAAATAAGCATGGAATAATACAACACAAAATGTACGTTAACAAAATGTATTGAAACAAAGAATAGGTACACAATATTTACAGTTAGTTTGGTATATTCTTGGGAAGACTGTTCCTGCATAATGGGTTGACTAAATCGCAGTCGGGCAGAGTCTCTGGATTCAATTTCTTAATCTCTACTATCTTCCCCGTCTTCCGGTACCAACCCATATTTATATGGTCGGTAGTCCGCTTATGTAAATTAGGTGTATCATACACAACAAAAAGTATGAATCCATCCCTTCTCTCCACGAGTTATGGATAAATAGCAGGTCAGATTTGGCCCTATATATTTGGTTGTCAGAAGGAAAACTGAATTCAAACCTGCCTGGAGAGTGTGGGGCTCCGTCAGTCTATCTTGACACAAAGACACCACTACAGCTACGGCTGCAATTCACATGGTGTCCCTAAGACAATAATGAATTGCGTGATATATGTTTTAATTATTTCAACCGACAATATCTGACTGTTTAATTTTCAACATAATATATCATCTGAAAATATATACATATTTATTTAGAATTATTTTATCATTACTATTATTCTTACATGTTTTTGTGTGTGTGAGTGAGTGTGTGTGTATTATGTAAGGTTTTGAATTTTGTCATTTGTTATTAGAAGGAAAAACACGAATAGATAGATAGATAGATAGATAGATAGATAGATAGATAGATAGATAGATAGATAGATAAACAGTCGGAAACAGAGTGAAACTAACAGAATAGGATAGATCGTTAGATAGAAACAGATGGAGGTGCACAGATAGATAGATAGATAGATAGATAGATAGATAGATAGATAGATAGATAGAAAGAAAGAAAGATAGATAGATAGAAACAGATGGAGAAATACAGATAGATAGATGGAAAGATAAATAGAAACAGAAGGAAAGACACATAGATAGATAGATAGATAGATAGATAGATAGATAGATAGATAGATAGATAGATAGACAGATATATAGACAGACATAAACATATGGAGACAGAGAGAAAAGAATATCATATATATATATATATATATATATATATATATATATAGAGAGAGAGAGAGAGATGATGTTTGTAGGTAAAAACAGACAAATAAATACATTTGTATTTATTTTCTTGAAATAAAAATGCGTACATATTAATAATATTCGACGATGCATCTGCAATAATAAAAATTATTCAAGTGCAAAATACTCCATTAAAAGTTGACTTCGTGACCGTCTTACATCAAATAATTTTATAGCCTATTAAAAATCTGTCGAAGTCCAATAGTTCCTTACGAATAAAAAGAACACCTCAGAGATTTCATGATTATTGTCATGCAAGCGTCCTTTACTCACTTCCGACACACTAAATATTCGGTGTGCCAACTGGAAATAGTCAATAGTCGAATAATTGATTACATACTCACTCGAACTCTCAGCTGGTTCCACACGCTTCCACGGAGACAATGCCAGAAAGATTTAGTGTTTTCTTTTGGTGAAAAAGTTTTTAAGAAGTGAAATGAAATTTACTACTCGACTGAAGATAACAGC